CTGATAAACATGGAAAGTAGAATTAACCAAGCAGAAGAAAGAATCTCAGAGCTTGAGGATCAAAATATGGAACTAACTCAAACTGTTAAAAACATAGAAGAGAAGCTTAAAAAGACAAAACAAAACCTCCAAGATATGAGGGATTATTTCAAAAGACTGAACCTAAGATTAATTGGAATTATTGAGGCAGATAGAGAGACAGAGACCACCCTGGAGCAAACATTCCATGAAATTATCAAAGAAAATTCATCTCATCAGTGATACGAACACTCAAACACAAGAGATTCAGAGAACCCCTGCAAGACAACAAATGAGAAGACCAACTCCTAGACACATAGTAATTTGCCTACACAAAGTAGGTATAAAAGAAAAAAATCCTAAAGGCAGCAAGAGAAAAAGACCAGACTACCTATCAGGGAAGAGCAATTAGAATAGCGGTAGACTTATCTACAGAAACACTACAGGACAGCTTGGAGTCCAGTCTTCAAAGTTCTCAAAGATAAACAATTTCAACCAAGAATTACCTACCTAAAATTCGTCAGTGATGAAGAATTAAAATCCTTTCCAGACAATCAATCCCTGAGAGCTGACGCTGCCTCCAGACCAGCTCTAAAAGAAACACTTAAGAAAGTATTAAACACAGAAGAAAGGAAAAAAAGAACGACAATGCTCTTTACAAGAATGCAAGGAAAAGACTTAAAATACACATGAATCAACCAAAAATCAAAAGAAAGATAACAAACAAATAAACAGCAGCAATAACAACAAACTGTATAAGAACCTCATGTCAGGGATAAACGCTCACATCTCAATAATTAGCTTGAATGTGAATGGGCTAAATGCACCTCTGAAAAGACATAGAATGGAAAAGTGGATAAAATATCATAAGGCAACAATATATTGTCTCCAAGAGACTCATCTCACCAAAAAGGACTCTCACAGACTCAAAGCAAGTGGATGAGGAACAAAATTTCAGGCAAACAGAACACAAAAGAAAGCCGGAATCATGATTTTAGTATCAGACAAAATACCCTTTAAGCTATCAAAAATTTAAAAAGATACAGAAGGTCACTACATAAAGATAAAAGGTTCAATCTATCAAAAAGAAATATCAATCGTAAACATATATGCACCCAGCATGGAAGCACCAACTCTCATAAGGCAGCTTCTAGGTAAACTTAAGAACAATATTGACTCTAACACTATCATAGCTGGGGACTTAAATACATAACTCACAACCATAGACAGATCATGAAGACAAAAAATCACCAAGCAGATTCAGAACCTTAATGTGACACTTGACCAAATGGTCTTAAATGTTATATACAGAACACTCCACCCAATAGTCACAGAATATACATTCTACTCATCACCACATGGAACATACTCTAAGATCGACCACATCTTTGGTCATAAATCAAGCACAAACACATTCCATAAGATTGAAATACTGCCATGGACCTTCTCAGACCACAGTGGAATAAAAATAAATATCAACACCAACAAAGTTCCCCCTAAACCCACAAAGACATGGACACTAAACAGCATGATGCTAAACAACTCCTGGGTCAATATGGAAATCAAAACAGAGGTAAAAACAACACCTGGAAACAAATGAAAATGAAGAAACATCTTATTAAAACCTCTGGGACCCCATGAAAACAGTACTAAGAGGGGAATTCTTATCTCTTCGAACATACATGAAGAAAATGGAAAGACCACAAGTTAACATCCTAAAAAACACCTAAGGAAGCTGGAAAAGCAAGACCACCAAAACCCAAACTTCAGCAGAAAAATCCAGATCACTAAAATAAAAGCCCAATTTCAGGACATAGGAGACAAAAAGATAATGCAAAAAAATCAACAAAACACAACTACACTCCAGTCTGGGTGACAGAGTGAGACTCCAACTCAAAAAAAAAAAAAAAAAAAAAAATTAACGAAACAAAAAGCTGGTTCTTTGAAAGTTTAACAAGATTGATGGACCCCTAGCTAGACTGACCAAGAAAAAGAGAGAAAAAGCCCAAATAAGCACAATCAGAAATGCAAAAGATATAGTCAAAACTGATCCCAAAGAAATACAAAAGATTATCAGAAACTACTATGTACATTTGTATGGAAACAAACTTGAAAACCTAAAGGAAACAGAGGACTTTCTGACATCACACAACCTCCCCAGGTTGAAATAAGAAGAAATCAAGACACTAAATAGACCAATAACAATCCAGGAAATTGAATATATCATAAGAAAACTACCTACAAAAAAAAGGCCTGGACAAGATAGCTTTCCAGCATAATTCTACAAAACATACAAGGAGGAACTGATACCAATCCTATTGAAAGTATTCCAGGCAACTGAGAAAGATGGAACTCTCCCCAAATCATTTCATGAAGCTAATATCACATTGATACCCAAACCAGGTAAAGATCCAACAAAAAAAGAGAACTACAGGCCAATATTCTTGATGAAAATAGATGATAAATTTTTAACAAAATCCTAGCAAACCGGATCCAACAACACATCTCAAAAATCATCCACCACAACCAAGTGGTGGATCCCCGAGATGCAGGGCTGGTTCAACATTCACAAGACCTTAAATGTAATTAAACACATCAACAGATGTAAAAACAAGAAACACATGATTATACCATTAGATACGGAAAAAGCCTTTGATAAAATCCAGCACCCCATCTTGGTAAAAACCCTCAAACATCTAGGCATAGATGGAACATACCACAAAATAGTAAGAGCCATCTACAAGAAACCCACAGTCAGCATACTGCCAAACAGACAGAAATCGGAAGAATTTCTCCTGAAGACCAAAACAAGACAAGGATGCCCACTCTCACCCCACCCTTTCAACATAGTTTTAGAAGTCCTAGATAGAGCAATCAGACAAGAGAAGGAGATCAGGGGTATCCAAATAGGAAAAGAGGAAGTCAAGTTATCCCTCTTTGCAGATGACATGATTCTATACCTCGAAAACCCAAGAGAATCTATCAAAAACCTCCTGGGACTGATAAAGGACTTTGGCAAAATCTCAGGATATAAAATAAATGTGCAAAAGACAGTCACATATCTAAACACCAACAATAAACAAACAGAAACACAAATGAAAGGCACAATCTCATTCACAATAGTCACACAAAAAAATGAAACACTTTGGCATCTTCCTAAACAGATATGTGAAAGACCTGTACAATGAAAACTACAAAACACTGCTAAAAGAAATCAATAATAACACAAACAAATGGAAAAATATTCCATGCTCATGGGTTGGGAGAATCAACATTGTTAAGACGAACATTCTACCCAAGGCAATCTACAGATTTAACACAATACCCATTAAATTACCAGCAGCATTCTTCTCAGACCTGGAACGACTATACAGGAATTCATATGAAAACAAAAATGACCATAAGTAGCCAAAACAATCCTCAGCAAAACAAAAACAAAGCAGGAGGTATACTCCCATACTTTAAACTTTATTATAAAGCTACAATAATCAAAACAGCCTGGTTGGTATAAGAACAGGCATAGAGACCAATGGAACAGGATAGAGATTCCAGAAGCAAAACATCAATTTCTCAACCAACTCATCTTTGACAAAGCCTCCACCACCAACCACTGGGGAGAGGAGAACCTATTCAGTAAATGATACTAGGAAAACTGGTTGACCACATGCAGAAGATTAAAACAAGACCCCTACCTATCACCATACATAAAAATCAACTCTAAATGAATTAAGGACCTAAACATAAAACCTCAAACTATAAGAACCCTAGAAAATGCAGGAGACACACTCTTATGGAAATTGGAACTGGCAACCAATTCCTAATCAAAACCCCAAGTGCCCATGCCCTAAGAGATAAGATAGACAAGTGAGACCTCATCAAACTGACAAACTTCTGCAAAGCCAAAGAAACCATCAAGAGAGCAGGGAGATAGGGAAAAAGTATTTTCCAACTGTATGTCTGACAAGGGCCTAACATCTAGGATCTACAAGGGACTCAAACATGCCAAAAAGAAAAAAACAAACAGCCCCATTACAAAGTGGGCAAAAGATATGAACAGACACTTCTCAAAAGAAGACATATGAGTAGCCAACAGATACATGAAAAAATGCTCAGCCTCAATAGTCATCAAAAAAATGCAAATTAAAACTACACTGAGATACCACCTAACTTCAGTCAGGATGGCCAACATCAATAACTCAAAAAACAACAGATGCTGGCGAGGATGCAGGGAAAAGGGAACACTTCTACATTGTTGGTGGGAGTGTAAACTAATACAAGCTCTGTGGAAAACAGTTTGGTGATTCCTAAAAGATCTAAAAATGTACCTTCCATATGACCCAGCAATCCCCCTACTGGGAATATACGCAGAAGAACTCTAATCACTCTATGAAAAAGATACCTGCAAACGTATCTTTATTGCAGCACTATTCACAATAGCAAAAACATGGAACCAACCATGCTTGCTGCCCATTGAAAGAGAACTCAATAATAAAAAGTGGTACATATGGACAATGGAATATTATGCAGCCACAAAGAGGACAAAATTATGAACTTCACAGCAACCTGAATGGTCTTAGAGTCTATAATACTACGTGATCTATCACAGAAACAAAGAACTGAATATCACATGTTCTCACTCATAAGCGAACCTTGAACAATTATCGTAATACTGTAAGAAAAAAACTGGCAGTAGTGGGAAACTGCCATGGGGGAGAGACAGAATTGGAAGTAGTGGGAATCTGCTGGGAGGGTGAGGGGGGTACACCTCATCAATAAGGGTACCTGCATAATTAACACTTATATACCCATCACTGAATTGTAACCCACATCTTTAAAATAAAAAAAAAATTTTAAATCATAAGCCATTTTAATTTTGAAAAAAAATGTTCAAGATATATATATTTAGGAAAAAATAAACTAACAAAGTTTCCAAAGATAATTTTTTGAAAGAATTGTTTAACTCTTCTCTGCAGGGCACTTGCCTGAGAGGTGATGTTGAGTGTCACGGTGTCCAGGCTTCCAGAAAGCATGCCCTGAGTATCGGCCAACGTCAGCGTTACGCTGGCATCACCTCCTACGCCTGATGAAGACATGACCAGGTTTTGAGTTGAGATGGCTGATGGAGATATTGGCGTTGTTGAAGGAAGGTTTCCACTTGTAGTGTTAAGTTCTGCAAAAGAGACAAAGCAAATACATCAATGGAAAAGCCAGATAAGTCAAATTTTAAGGGCATGGGAAGAACCATTTTCATAAAGGAGCTACTCTCTCTATAGTAACTAGCATTTATACTGCCTAAGCTCTTGAAATTGCATCAAGCAAATCATAGAAGGTTCATTCCAATTTTATGACAAGGAGTTTCTTAGTTTTTAAATATCTTTCCACACGAATATACTTTGCTTCTTAAGAAGGAAACACCAGCAAATGAAGAATGAGAGCGTGACCCCCAAGTCACACTACTATTATAGAATAAAAATTCCAACAAGAATTTCCAGGGTACTGTCCCCATCTGGGACTAAAGAGACCAGCTGAAGAAAAGAATCAAGTTATGATCCACTGAGCAAGGACTAGTTCCAAAGTTTAGGGAATAAATTTGACAGTCTCTGCTAATTTTCTTGCTTTCAACACCTCTACTGTCTACTCATTCTAAAATACAGGAAATCAAATTAAGCCTCATAAAATCCTTTAAATATTAATTTATCTTGCATGATATCTTAATTTTCTCTGGAAAAAAACAAAACTTTGAAATATTTCCCCCCTTGTAGCCCATGATGAGAAAGGAAGGTATCTGTCAAATAAAGGCCTTTTCTTCTACAAAGCAGACACACATGCAGCCTACTGGCAGAAGAGACGGGTTTAGCATGGGATTCTCAAAATCCTGCAGTGGACATCAACGAACACAATGTCTAAAGCATAAACACACATGCACATAGACGCACACACACTTTATGCTCATGATCTAGCCATCCATTCATCTAACAAATACGTATTTACCACCCACTTGTGTCAGCCACTGTGCTATGTGCTAAGGACACCAAGAGACAACTGATGGACAAATTCAATATGCTATTTCCTAATTATGCTTAAAAACAAAACAAGCTCCTGTCAGTACTTTGCTGTGACTTGGGTCACATCGGCGTTGGCTCTCCTAGGAGTCAGGGGCCAACAGGAAAACCAGGTTACTTACTTGTAACTGGAGTTCTCCAAATACAATGCCTCCACAGATCCACACTCCTGGAGTCCCCCACTGTGCTGCACAGACCTGGAACCTTCAAAAGCAGTACAACTATTAGGAGGCGGGGAGTCTCGCCCTGCTGGGACTGCACAGATAGCTAGGTCAGACCCTCCCGACTGCTCTCACGGCCTGCACAGAGCAGGCTCCTCAGACACGTGGGCAGGGCGCGAGGAGTGTGGATTTGTGGAGGATGTCTGCATGCGCTAAGCACTCCAGTCACCGGGACAGCAGCCATCTTGTCGGCTCCCTAGAGCTTCCTCCACACACCCTCACTCTTACAAACTGGCATGCAGTAATAATTTTAACACGAGTGGACGGAGATGAAAAGGATGCTGTGGAACATGGCAATGACCAACTGCATGGACTGCTATTCAATCAAAGTCACGAGGACAGACCAGGTCAGGCTGGCCTGCCCTCCGCCATGGTGTGGGCAGCCCCAGCCCAGGGAGGGAGGACAGGGAAAGGAAGCATACTCCTGTGAGTGTCTCTCAGGATCATGCGTAGAAAGAGCCAAGGCAAAGGCAGCCCAAAGCAGGAAATTCGAAGCTCATCCTCACTTCTGATATAAAGGAACCAAGGATCTTCTCCCTTCTCTCCACCAGTACAATAATTCTGACTTTCTAGTAATTAATAATGTATCGAAAGATTCCAGAACTGTGCAGTGTGATAAATCCAAAGAGATCTAAAAGCCTGTATGTCCATTTAACTAAAGTAAATCCTGACACAAAGTTCAGTGAAGACATTAAACACCTTTAGATAGTGCCAGAGTTCATATTTCAACTCAGTGAACCTTTCATGATGTCCCTGATTCACTGATTTTCCACAAAGAGGATGGCACCAGTTCCAGAAGAACCATCTTCAATATGATGGAAAAGAACACGTCACTAGCACAGAAAAAATTGAAATTTTCTTAAGCATACAATTAAATTACAAGCTATAAATAACTCTTAATTATCTCTTTGTTAAAAGTTCTAAAAGCCAGAATTTTAAATTCAAATTAAATACTCTTAACATGAAAATCAGGATCCAAATATTGAAGTAACGATAGTAAGACTCTTACTTTTATTCCTCATTTATTTTCTGAAACCACTGTTCCTCCAGGATGCATACAGCAATCTTATCTTATTTCACTTAATAATTCTGACTCAAAAAAAAATCTTTAAAGGATTAATAAATTGTATACTCATCAAACCCAACACTGTCTTAAAGTCTTCATTGGGATAAGATTTTATAGCTTTTAAAACAGCTTACAATTTTATTTTTTATTATAAAGATGTGGGGTACAATTCAGGGTTAGGTATACAAATGTTGATTATGCAGGTATACCTCCCACCCCTAGCAGTTTCCCTCAACTGCCAATCCCACCCCTCCTCCCCTGACAGTTTCCCACTAGGAATTCCTAGTTTGCCAATCCCTTTCTTATAGTATTATAATAATTGTTCAAGGTCTGCTTATGAGTGGAAAAACATATGTTACTCTGTTCTTTGTTTCTGTGATAGACCACTGAATATGATCGACTCTAAGGTTTCAAAAGTAGTTTAAAAGATACGAATGACAGTCAGTTTTTTCCTGAAATTAACAAAATTGTGGGACGAGAGGAGGTGGGAGGAGGAGAGCAGGAGACAAGCACCTAGGTGACTCCCTCTTCCAGGCACTGGGATCACTCAAGGCGCAACTCGGCAGTGTGGGGATCGCCCTGGCCGCTCCTTCAAGGCACTCAGATCACACCCCAGGGTGCAACTTGGAAGTGTGGGGACCATCCTGGCTACCCTTTCATAGGCACTCAGATCATTCAAGGGTACAACCTGGAAGTGTGGGGACTGTCCTCCTCAATTTTAATACACACTCACAAATGGAAGATGTCAAAATTGTTGAACTATTAAAAATAAATAATTGATAATACTTAAGTCTAGAAGAAACTTAGGCTAAAACAATTTTACAAATAAATAGTAAACACAGAATTATTCTTTACTTTCACTGAAACCACTCAATTTATTCATCAAAATTACCTTAAATTTAAACATGGACAACGGCAAGAACCAAAAGGTAATCTAACTTGAGATAAATTCCTTCAAACGTTGTGCTAAATTTCAAGCCTCTTATCAGTAATACTATCTACCTTGAAAGTGTACTTACATTATATTGGACCATTTTTTAAGAAAACAATTTGTATCATATTTTGTCATGGAGGTCATCAGGATCTGACTTTGAAATTGCCCTCACCCCCCGCATAACTCATCTGAACAAAAGCATGTGCTTTTATCCTTCATGTGAAATTCTGACTAATGGCCACAACTTCAGTTTATTTGTAAATTCTTAAATGGTAAGACACCTCTTTCAATTAAGATGCAACAGTCAGAGTTAACCTGGAGGCTGATGAGCCTTAACCAAACCTTGCTTGCATAGACAATTTTAAAATAATAATAGCCACATGCATCTTCATTATGCTCTGATAAAAGAACTGGCAACATAAAGGTTATATGTTTACATTTAGAGTTTTTATTTTAATGTTTATCTTTAAAGAGCCTTGTTTAATTTCAAAACAATGTCGTTTTAATTTCAATTCTTTCTGTAGCCTGAAGCTAGATCTGGGACTGACTTTGATTCTAGATAAATATTGCCTGCTGAGCGAGAGGCAATCTCTTAACTGCTACCACAGAGATGGGATCAGCTAAATAATTATAACCAGGACAAATGGGATATGTAAACAACTCTAAAAATATCTGCTTAATATCAAGGGTTGAGTGGGCCAATGTATGAAGAATCTCTTCCTATATTCAGGATTATTCAAACATAACAATGGTATCTGAGAACGTAATACAACTCATCTGAAAACATAATACAACTCATCATATAAAATTAATCCTGTATTTAAGAATAGCTGATAGTACATTAATATACAAATGTTGGCTGAGCCGAGTGGCTCATACCTATAATCTCAGCACTCTGGGAGGTGGAGGCTGGAGAACTGCTTGAACCTAGGAATTCAAGACCAGTCTGAGCAATATAGTGAGAGCTCATCTCTACAAAAAATACAAAAATTAGCCCAGTGTGGTGGCACATGCCTAAAGTCCCAGTTACTAGAGAGGCTGAGGCAGAAGGATCACCTGAACCCAGGAGGTCAAGGATGCAGTGAGCTGTGATTGTGCCACTACACTCCAGCCTGGGCAACAGAGTGAGACTCTATCTCAAAAAACAAACAAAAATGTTCTTTAATTATGAATTGCTAAATCCTCTGAAACTCTTTTTAAAATATTTAACATCTGGGATATAAGCTAAAGTATCATAAAAAATAAAGAGAAGTTTTCTCAGCTAGCTTAAAACAAAACAAAACTCTGCAAGACTAAAGAAAAGAAAAAACTTATGCCAGCCAAAGGGCATGTTGTCATTTGTAAGGAAACCCCAGTTGCATAGCATACGGGAGCCTTACACATGACTGGGGACAGCTCTACTTCAGAGACAACCCTCCCCTGAATGTGAAGTTCTGCTGTGACACTATCAGTATATGTCCCTGGAAGCACATTTATGGGTCAAACACTTACTGCTGCTGAATTAGCCAGATCACAGGAGTTTAACCCTTTGCACTCAGAGAAATCCTCATATCACCTACCAGCAACTCAATCGTACTTTTTTATAAAGGAGTGAAAAACGAATCACTTCATATTAAATAGTATAGCGTTAGAACCAATTATTTTATTGTAATGATATTTGGCTTATAATAGAATTTGGAAATTGAGGAACTTATTTATGACAAAAAAATCAAAATTTTATATCTATATTTTTCTAACATATGGTAACGTTAACAGTTATGAATGTGCATTTCAGGTACACTGATACATGTTGTATAATAGTAATTTGTTTGATGTCTTCCACCACCTGGTGTTTTTCTATTCAAGCAGACGATGCAGTCTTTTTCTTCCTCCCATGTTAATAAAATG